CACAAAACGAGGCTACCCAGCCCAAAAGGTCAACGGTGCCGAGGATGAGAAACCCTGCGTTAGACCTCTCTCTTGTCTGATGCCTACCCCACAACAACCTCATTCAAAGATGAAGAAACTGAGGTTCAGAGAGCTGAATGACTTGTCTAAGGTCCCCCCAGCCAGCGGTAGCCAGGAGTCGACTTTTGACCCCATCTGCCTTTAGGGTCTGCGGTCCATTCCACATACTGCACCGTCTATCTGAGAAGGCATCGCCCTTGTCTCCAAGTGCCGGGCGACTGCTCACTGCCATGGCCCCTGGCAGATGATCTATAGGGCAGGTTACAAATTTTACCTAAAAGCACAACCTCCCTACTGTTTTAGAGATGACTTTGCACTAGTAATCATAACCACGGTTTCTATTTACTGTGTGCTATGCTCTTTATGAGGATTAACTCGCTTTACCCTGATGAGGACACGAGCCGCAGAAAGGGTAATAATTTCCCCGAGATCCCACAGTGAGTAGCAGGTTTGGGCTCCAGACCCAGATAAGGGGTCAGAGACCAATCTCTCAACCCCTATGCACTACGGTTCCCCCTCATGCTCTCAACATTCACCTTGGACTTCGTTCCTGCTCTAAATTGAAGTACGTGCGACAGGCCAGAGCTCCAAGCTCTTGTCTGGAAAAGAAGCCACGCTCTAAGCAGGGATGGGAGATTACTGCAGAGAGCTCGGGGCCAGAAGGAATGTCCAGGTACCGAGAGGGAAGAGGCTCTGAAGGAAGGGGATGTGACTTCCTCGGACCTTGTACAAAGTTCCTGGAGAAAACCCAGCTATGCAACTGAGGTTCCTGCAGCAGTCTTGGCTCCAGCACACTGCAAACAATCTTATTTGCTATCCTGGGTTGATCTGGATTTTGGCAAGCCTAAACTTGGCAGTGAGCTCGATAAAAAGATCACCTGGGGGGGAAACTCCCAGGAATGGATTCTACAAGCTGGCCTGTTGGGGGAGAGGCACTGAGTTCCAGATCTGCCCCCTCCTAGCTATGTGACATCGGCACCTCTCTGACAAGTGAGGACAGCAGCGCCCAGCAGTCTGGGTTGTGAATGAGAGGACTGGAGGTAGTCTGGGACCCCCGTGTGCCACAAGCCCTGGAGAGGCCATGGCCAGCTTTGCAACCCATTGGCTGGGTGACCTTGAGCAAGTAAGTCTCTTCCCGCTTTGTGCCTCTGTTTGCTTAACTGCCAAAGGAAAAGGCAGGGTCTTTGGTCTAAAAGCCCTCTGAGGTCTTAGGGCTCTGGATGGGCCGTTTCTCTCTCCCCAGGGCTGACTTCTTTGGGCATCAAGGACACACTCCATACTCCAGGTCAAGGGCGCAGTTCCGAAGAGCAAGGCGAAGCTCCTTGCCTTTCTGTTCCCTGCTCCCCACCACCACCGGGCCTGCCAGAGAAGGGCTGCTCTCAGACACCCCCCCTCCCCCAGGTCACCAACATCCTGTCTCTTAGTCCAGCTTCATGGAAACAACAAAGCCAACACCATCTCCAGCCTAGTGGATGGTTCCTGCAGCATCCATCTTCCTTGGCTAAACACCTAGGGCATTCCATCGAGCAATGCCCACAGGAGCTGGGGGGAGCATGGGGGAGTCCCAGGGAGCAAATTGGGGCCCTTCTCTCTGCACAGACAACCCCTTCTCCAGGAGAGGGGTTGGACTGCCTCAGGGGAGAATATTCTGAACACAGCCCTTTGTGTGTGAAGTGGGGTGGGGGGTGGGGGCTGTCCCTGCTAGTTCTGCTGCCTCAGACGCCACCGCTGCTGTCAGAGTTTGGAGGCCCCTCCAAGGGTGTCTAGGCTTAGGACCTCAGCTTTCAGGGCTTCAGCCTTACAATTTCTTACTAAACCTCTTGCTCTAGTCCTAACCTCTGGCCAGGGTGAGAAAAGGTGATGGAATTAGGTAGCGCAGCGAGGTGGGGGAGTCCAGTTGGGGAAGGATGGGACAGGGGAGGCGGGGAGGGGTGGTGTGGGGTGTTAATGGGATGGGGCTCGTGTGAAAGGGTTAGGCAGGGATGGAGTGAGCAGGGAGACTTGGTCTGAATGGGTATCCACACCGTTGCCCAGTTTCTGAGGATAAAAGCCCCTCATTTTCCATCTTGACTGGAGGAAGGGGGAAACCTCCAAAACACCTTTAGTGGGGTGGTGTCTGAGGCAGCCATGTCTTTCTTATGGGTGGGGAGGGGGCCTTCGGAGGGGGGTCAGGGAATCACCTCTAAAGGCAAATACCAGAGTCTAGTTTCTGAGGAGGGGGAAGTAGGGAGGTCCATATTGGGGTGACATGGAGTCTCTGCCCTGGGAAGCTCCTTGCCTGAAGGAGAAGCTTATATCCCAGGATATCTGGGGGCCTCCATTTTCCACGGAGGGAGCACACTTATCTATGAGAAGACCCCCATCGTTCCGAAGGGAGGGTGGAGAGAAGAAATCCACACACAGTCTTTAGGGAGGGGGAAAGGACGCGGATCTCTAAAGGTATAAGGGGGACCTAGATACCTGGGGAGGCTGGACCCCACTTTTGGGGGGCACCTTTCATTTCAGGGGGTAAATTAGGGAGGGGAATTCTATCCCTAGAGCCTAGGGTCAAGAGGAAAGGCCCATTTTTGAAGGAAAATGGAGCTGTTTGCTTTGGAGGGGGGGGAAATGAGGGGGGGGTCCTTTCTTTTCGGGGAAGGGGACCCACCACTCCGAAGGACGAGGGCCGCGTTTCCGGGAGAAGATGCGCCGCGTTTGCTCCCTGGGGGCAGGGCCGAAGGCCTGCTCCCCGCGGAAAGGCCCGCCCCACGCGACCCGGCACCTCGCACTCACCTCCAGGCCCCGGCTCGGAGGCGCGGACTCGGATCTGCGGGGGCCCCGACTGGAGGGATCCGCGCCCTGCGCTCGGGATGCGCCCGGCCTCTGCCTTGCTTCACCCAGCGACTCGCGGGGCTCCCGGGCTCCGCCGAGCCCCGCTGGCCAATCAGCGCTGCCGGCCCCGGCCCTCGCTCACGCGGCAGCCAATGAACGCGCCCGCTACGGGCCACCGCCCCCGGCGGGAGGGGGAAGGCGCGGCGGGGGCAGAGTCCGGCCTCCCCCGGCGCAGGAGCCGGGGGCCTGGAGGAGGAAACGCGAGGGCCGGGAGCGAGGACTGGGGCAGTGGAAGAGGCGGCCGAGGACCTCCATCAAGCCGGGGGGTAGTCTATGTGATCGGGGTGGGGTGAGGAGCCTGTCTTTCAATGGGGGTGGGGGGCGGCTCTATTGGTTGATTTAACCTAGACCTTAATTACTCCCTGTCCTTTTCTCTGGACCCTTGGGGTTACGGGTGAGTGTAGCTGCCCCAAATGCACCCCATGCCCCAGAATCCGGGTTCTGTAACCCTAGAGTCAAAGTCAGACAATGTTTCATATGAAAAGGAGGGGAACAGCAGCGTGCCCTGCTCGCCTTCATCCCCCAGCGCGGGAGCTCAGGGCCCTCACGCTCAGCCCTCCTGAGCTGCCATTCGCTTAGCGCCTCCTGGCCCGCCAGCTCCAGAAGACAGATAGCTTGTGCAGTGTGTGTGCAGAGAGCACTGGACTAGGAGTCCGTGGTTCCTTCTGCAAGATCTAGGGCAGGTTGCTCCACCGCCCTGAGTCTCAACAGTAAATGGAGACAATAGTGAGAGTACCTCCTTCATGGGCATAAACGACATTGGAGATGTGATGAAGATGCTTTAATAACAATTTAAATGCTGTATGAAAACTAGTTAATACTAAAGTATGAATGCCTTATAGCCCCGTAGCTTTTTAAAGATGTTTGGAAAGAGGATACATTCATTCAGTAGTAAAGTCAAAGACACAAGAGACTGCCCGTCAGTACAACCAAGTGTTCATAATGAATGGATGAATGGAGAGATTCCAGACCTTAAAAGGCCAAGAAAGACTACAGCGTGGTTTTCCCCACTAAGCCTTATCAGGTAACTATTTCCTTGGTCTGCTAGAGTCTTGCAGAATCTGAGGTCCCTCCTTCCCTCCTTGCAGGAATCCAGGCTGCCTTATTTCTGATTAGGCAAAGAGGGCTGTAGTTCTAGGGATTAAGAAATTAAGATAAATATAATGCAAACAAATAAATAAAAACTGCCATCACACTACCTGCCTCCCTGGTGTGGTCTATGACGGTAGGGACCAAACAGAAACAATAAATAAGAACAACTAATTGAAAGGAGCAGACAGAAAATATAATTGATCCACAGTTCAGCTGAAACGTGGAGAGCTTCAGCAATCTCTTTGGTGTGTTATTCCTGTCCCCTTGCTTGCAGAACAGTTCAGTCACATGAAAATTATACAGGAAGTTCACATTTCAGTGTGCATAAGTAAATGACATTTATTTTGGAACACAGCCATACTCACTTATGCATCATGTATGGCTGTTTATGTACTATAGAGGAAGAACTGAGTAGTTGTGACTGAGGCTGTGAAGCCAAAACTATTTACCACCTGGCCTTTTTAGAAAAAAGGTTGCCAAGCCCTGGTCAAGGCAATTAGGGGAAACAAAGTATATGGAGTCATCATTCATCTGTTCATTCATTCAACTACATATTGAGTCTCCACTGTGGGTTAGGTCCTGGTCCAGGGCATCCAGGAGGTGCTGCCCTGTTTCTGGTTAAGAAGGGGTGTGAGAGGGGTATTTAGAGCCAGGCGCTTTGCCAGCTGACTCTCAAATAGCTTCATTGTGATACTTGTGAAGAAAACTGTCAGCAGGTTGAGAAAGCCTTTCTCCCGCTAGCTTCACTTGCATTTTCTGCAGTTCCACAGTTTTCCTACCGGGCTGCTCAGGGCTGCAGCTGTATTCCAAGGGATGGTGAGAATGTTTTCCAGAGGCTGGCCGAGGCCCAGGATGGGGGCTCCTTCCAGAGGCACAGCTCTGGCTGGGAGGGCTCCCAGTGCACCCCCCGAGAGGAGAAATGAGGGCGATGGAGTGGGAGGCTCTCAGGGCGCCAGCAGTGAGAGCAGGAAAGACCCTTAGAGATCAGCACTGTATTGTACAGAAGAGGAAGATGAAGCCCAGAGTCGAAGATGAACTTGCCCAGAGCCTGGATAGAATGTGTGACTTATTTCCTAGGTCTGTGCTTTCCAGGATCCCTGCTCTTAAAATAATAAAGGGAGGGGCGGCCGGGTGGCTCAGTTTGTTTGGAGCACATGCTCTGAGCAGCAGGGTTGCCGGTTCGATTCCCACATGGGCCAGTGAGCTGCGCCCTCTGCAACTAGATTGAAGACAATGACTTGAGCTGAGCTGCAGCTGAGCTGCCGGTGGGCAGCCAGATGGCTCAGCTGGTTGGAGTGCGTGCTCTTGACAGCAAGGTTGCCAGTTCGACTCCCACATGGGATGGTGGACTGCGCCCCCCGCAGCTAGATTGAAGATGGCAACTGGACTTGGAGCTGAGCTGTGCCCTCCACGGCTGGGACTGCAGGACGGCGGCTTGACTTGGAACTGAAGGGTCCTGGAAAAAAACACAGTGTTCCCCAATAAAGTTTAAAAAAATAAATAATAATAATAAAGGGATACCAGAGATGGCATTTGGGTGTGATGGAAAGAGGACCAACTCGGGATCTGATATTCCAGTTTCACCTCCCAGTGGCCAGGTGACATTGAACAAATTTTTTACCACCTCTCAGCCCCTGTGTTTTCATCTGTAAACTGGATAAAGTATCTACCACAATATCCATATGTAAAAAACTGAATTTGGATCCTTACCTCACACCATATACAAAAATGAACTCATAATGGATCAAATACCTAAATATAAGATTTAAAACTATAAAACTCTTAGAAGAAAACACAGAGGTAAATCTTCATGAACTTTGGCAATGGTTTCTTAAGTGTGACACCAAAAACATAAGAAACAAAAGAAAAAATAAATTGGAATTCATCAAAATTAAAAGCTTTCGTGCATCGAAGGATACCGTCAAGAATGAAAAGACAGGGCCGGCCGAGTGGCGCGATGGTTAAGAACTCGCT